CAAGAATGAAACACATTCAGGGAAAAGGAAACTAAGAGAGCTCCTTACTGCCAGACCTATATTACTGGTGATGATAAAAGAAATTATTTGGATTGAAGGGAAATAATACCATACAGAAACCCAGAAATTCGGGGAGGAATGAAGAGCAATGGAGCTGGCAGCTTTGGTGGCACCAGAATCCCTTCAAGGAATGTGTTTTTGCTCCTGCTACTTCTAGCACTATCAGCAGAGTCTTCAGTTTTCAGCATCTTCAGGGATCACTTCAGTTTCTTTGCCCAAAATCCCCCTTCTGAGAGCAGTCCATGCGCAATAACCCATTGAGATGCAAGTATAAAGACCAACCTTTTTGACTCAATACAGAGCCTCTCTGGGGTCATTCTAACTCTAGTGTTTCCCATCGGGTCAGATGAGGGTGCCAATGGGTAAAACTGCAGCCTGACTTAGCCTCTGCATCTTTGCCTTTTCTTCCAGGTGTTTCTTCCAAGGGTCCTCCCAAATAAAAATTCTCTACTCAAAACTCTGAGTCTGATTCCTGAAGAAACTGCAATAGCATCAACAACTTAAATAAACAGAATTTTAAAGAAAACAGTTTGCTTCTAAAACCTTTCAACTGTTTTGGGGATTTTTTTATACTACTTTCCTTAAATGCAAATAAGTTTTTTGCTTGGAATTGTAATATTTCTAGGTATTCTATACAAAAAGAATATAAATTCTATCTAGGAAAACTTCAGAATTGTTTGTTCAGTGTTAACTAGCTGACTGTAACTCACATTTGTGTGTGTGTGTCTGTGTGTGTGTGTGTGTATATATATATATATATAAAAAAAACAAGTGTATATATATATATAGTGTATATATATATATAATTGTTTTCAAAGTTACACTTTTTTCATCACTATGAAAAAGTGGTGGCTTTGGGTTTGATTGTCAGGCAATATTAGCATCATTCAGTTCAGAACCAATCTGCTCCCAACCATAACCCCAAATCTGCTCCCTCACCACAGTCAAGAGTTGATTATCTGCATGGCAGTAATAACAAGGGAGAGGAATAAACGTTTATCAGTGGTCACTGAATTTTAATCACTGCACAGGTTGATTTTTTTCATATACAACATAAATACCAAATGACAACTGAGTTATTTAGCTAACTAGCACCATTAACTGAAATAATTATGACCTTATTGGGAGACAATTTACCTTCTGTGAACTCGGTCATTTCTTCCCACCTCCTTATTGCTATTCTCAACTTATTAAATATCTTACTCCTCAACCTCAGAAGTTTCCCTCCTCGTAATTAAGATTTAGCACTCAATTTGCCTCGCTTGTCTCCCTTCCCATCTTTTCTTGGATCTATCTACTCTGTGCTATAAAGAAGAAAGGTAATTATCACTCTGAGAACCCAGTTCCAAAAACCACTGATGCTGTTTATATCTCTATGTGTCTTCTATTCCATGATTGATTTATAATACCTAGATTCTTTACTTCCAAATACCCTATGGGATTTTTCCTCTTAGTTGTAACCCTTCTTATACTGAATTTAACATTTTCCTCTGCCAAAAGCCTTCCCTTATCACCTACTGATATCCCTCGGTAATATCACGAAACTTCCTAAAGGACAACCCAAGAGTAGGAACTCTTGACTCCTGCTTCAAAATAAATTTTTTACCAAGTGCCACCCCTACTCAGAGGGATAGTGCTACAACAATATTCTTCAAAAATATTGCTTTACTGTATTATTTTCTTGTTCACAGAACAGCAGATGGTTCCCTGTTTTGTACAGTTACAAAACCATATTCAGGTTCCTCTGATTAGTGATCAAGGACCACTAAAATGCACCCCTATTTCCTGCAATCATGTAACACACAATCTCTGTTCCATCAAGCTAGAGTTCTTTCTCTCCCTAAACTTATTTGTCTTAGTTTATGCACTTCCCCTTCTCTCAGTTTGTATCTCCACCTTTCCCCACTTGTCCAAGCCTATTCATCATTGAAGGTCCAACTCTTCCATAAAGGCTTCAACAACTTCAACTGCCTTAACTTCGCCCATCTTTGGATTTTCACTAGATTCGTACACAATTTCAAGATTTAGTGATTTAAAATGTTTTCCAGTTGTTCCATCTTAGTTTTAGCTCCCTAATTTAGATTATTAATAACTTTAAGGCACTATTCACACACACACACACACACACACATATCCTCTACATATAATAAGTGTATAAAAACTTTTGATTGTTTAATTGCTTACGATGAATAGAGGAAAACACACCTAAAAGTGATCATAATATGTAAATTCACAATTATCACAAACTAGAAAAGAAAGATAAGACTGAAATTAATGACAATTAACTCCTTTTCCACAATTGCTTTTAATCTTTTTACCATCTTTTGCATAGCTGCTGAAAGGACCCAACAGCCCTATCTTGATTTTTATCTCTTCTTGTTACTGCTTGCCCCCTAGTGGGAGATACTGATAAATGGTCAAAATTAACCCTAAGAAGATAAAAGGTGGCGGCTTCCTTTTCAACGAGGCAAAATCTCAACATCAGTACCTTTTATAAAATGTAGATTCATTTTGATTAGAACATCAAAATATTAATATGAACACAAGAAGAAAACTTCGATGATAATAAGCTAAAATAAAGAGGGAGAAGTGATACGGAGTGAAAGGAATACAAGGTGTGGCCCAGAGTTAGAGAACTTGGCTCTGCAATAGTTGCTCATACTCTGAGTTGCTTATGTTTTCCCCCTCAGGCATTTTCTTATGAACCTTGTCTGCAAGCTACCACATTGCCTGAACTTATAAGCAAATAAGTAAACAAAAATAGATTCCTTAATGCTGTCTTATATTGAAGTCACTCTCTCTCTTGCTCCTTTGTGAATTTATTTTGTATAATAAAAGTGAGTTATTTCTCAACCCAAATGCCCAAAAATAGATGGCTGGATCAAAAAGATGTGGTACATATACACCATGGAATATTACTCAGCAATCAAAAAAAGATAAACACATGCAATTTGTGGCAACATGGATGGCGCTGGAAGGGATCATGCTCAGCGGAATAAGCCAGAAAGAAAAAGAAAAATACCGGATGGTCTCACTCACAGCAGGAATCTAGAAAACCTAAATAAGGGACCTGGAAAAAGAATAACTATAAGAAAGAAAAAATCAATATCAACAAACAATTATGAACCAGAGACACACTATGGGGGGGTGCGGGGAAAGGAGGGATTGAGGTCAAAATAAGGGGGTTACAATTGTATAGGAAATATAAAAATAAAATTTTAAAAAAAGAATACAGAAAAAATAAATAAATTGGATTATTCATCTTTAAAAAAAGTGAGTTATTTCTATTTGGCATTAAAAACAAAGCAGCATTAGTTCAAAAGTCAGTTAAGACAAAAATTCATGCCCCAAGTGATTTCCTTCTCATATTCTGAATTATTTCATGGTAAATTTATCATGTCAAATCACTGCACATAAAGTAATTTGCTTTTTGCATCTTGATCCTAAATATTTTGATAACTGTACCATTATCAAGAACAGACTTCAGAGATTTGATATGTGTAGTATTTCCTAGTTGTGTTCAGGAACAGCTTTAGAACTCAACCCATTAAACGATTAAAACTCAAATTTATCAATTGCTTTGATCTTGGTGGTGGTGGTGTTTTTTTTCTCCTTTACCAAATACCCAAAGGTCATAGTGCAACTTGACATACATAGTTCCTTGCCTCGCTGTTTTCCCTGCTACCTTGGGTCTTGCTCAGGTTTCTGTCAGAGTTTTCTACAAGATCTCAACTCCAGACAGATTCATATCATGTGATTTCTTTTTAAGTAAGAAGTAGCCCGTTCAGTTTATAAGTAAGTATTGACAACTTTGTTCCAACAGTGTTGCTCTTTAGTGAAAATGATAATCACTAAATGTTGAGGAAAACTGCCTGTTCAAATGTTAGTGATGCTTACGACATGTATTATTTGAGACATGACTCTGTGACTCCAGTAGACAAATCATGTCATCTCTCTAAGCCTCAGTTTCTACCTTTGTAAAACAGAGAAATGTCCTCCACGCCTACTTCGCTGGGTTGCCATACAGATCAAAGGAGAGAAAGCATGTGAAAGTTCTCTGTGTAGTACAGTCAGACAGTGGAGTTACTTTAGATGTGCTCACCAGGAAAAGTAACATGCGGAAAACAGATTTTTGGGTGGAACACAGACAAAATTTTAAAGCCATTCATATGAGAAAAGTTTTTTTCTTTTTTTAATTACCAAATGATAAATTTTAAAACCAGCTACACTGTTTCCTTGCAGCTGCTCCCATTTACTAAAAGTGAAACCTGAAAACTCCCTCCCACATCAACTCCTATCAACCCTCTAGAGTGAACCCAGGGCACCACAGCAGCCCCGAGTTCTCTCCAACTCCTACAGGAAACTAGACATTGAAGAAGGTGTTATCTAACCCAGAGAGTGTCTCTTCAAGTTCACACATCTTAAAGATAAGAAACACACAGAAACACCACAAAACTACATGGATTATATTTTTTTAAAGCATCTGGTCATAAGAAGTGACAGAAAGCAGTAAACTTTGCTAATCTGTATGATTAACAATATGGTCCAAAACTGGCTGAGATATATTTAATTTTCTCTTTTGAAAAAGGGAGAAGATAAAAAGAAGCAAGGTGACTTGGATTGCGACGAGAAATTACTTCATTTATTCTGCCCGCCTCGTTCACAAAGGGTGGCGGGGAAAATGAGGAAGTGGACAGTGAGGCAAATTATAGCCATGCAAGCTGTAGTAGGATATAAAGTAAAATAACAAAGACAAAGAGGAAAATGAGGATAATAAAGTGAAATAAATTTGAGAGTAACTCCCTCCGCCATATCTATGATTGCATATATCTTGCACTGCTCCATAAAGAAAGCAAAGAACCAGGCCTTCAGGAAAAGCTGTGGCCAAGTTTCAAACCCATCATTGTCCTCTCACTCTCCCAAAGACAATTCACACTTACCAGCCACGAACACAATCACAATCAGTAGTAGCTGAAGGTCAGCAGTCCTCCAAGTGCAGGGCATTTCTGTTTCCTTGTTGTCTGCTCTTTACTCAGCACTTTGCCTCCACGCAGGTATAGAAGCAGCCAAGGGCATGATGAGGCTCTCTCGGTTGACCTCTCTGTACTGGATACTCTTAGCCCGTCAGCTGCAGGACAAACCTTTTCTCCTAGTTCCTTCCTTCAACTCTATGTTTTTGCCTGATTGGTAACTTTGGACAGAAGAAACTCTTCTCTGGAACTTGACACAGCAATAGATTTCCTGTATGAAGCGCTGAAGCAAAGACGGAGGAAGCAGATTGATGGGGTTATCTTTCAGCTCATTGGTCCTCTTCTCACTTCTGCTGTGCACAAATAAACTTTACAGTAAGGCCTTGAACTTGCCCAAGATCAACGGATACTTCTAAACTTGGATTGAAAAAAGTAAAATGATATTTATGCATTTTGGGCCCATTCCTTTACATTTCCCAGTCACAATAATTTTAAGAAGCTTCCTGCAGTTTGAAGAGTTTGAAACAAAATATTTTCCTTTGAAAATTCTTTCATAAAATTATTGTCTATAATGTCTCTATGATGCTCTAGGGCATCATAAGTGTATTCTTTTTCTATTGCTATTATAACAATAGCACAAGCCAGTGGCTTAAAATAACACATATTCACCTCATACTTGTAGAGATCAAGAGTCCAAAATAGATCTGATAGGGCAAAAAATAGGGTGCTGGCAAGGCTGTGTTCTTTCTGGACACAAAAGGAATCTATTCGATTTCCTTCTTCAGCTTCTAGAGGCCACTGCATTCTTTGGCCTGTAGCTGCATCATCCCATCTTTGTTCTGTTGTGAAATCTCCTTTTCTGATTGCAACCCTCTCTCTTAATAAAGACCATTGTGGTTATATCAGAACATCCAGATAATCCAGCCTAATCTTCCCATCTCAAAATTTGTAATTTAAATCTCATTTGCCAAGTTCCTTTATCCATGTAAATTTACATATTTGTACTTTTCAGAGATTAGGACATGGACATCTTGGGAGGACCATTATTTTATCACAATTCAGTAATTATTTCAATTCATTTTCACATTTGAAGAGCTAGACTGAACACTTGAACCATCTTTAATTGTCAAATATCTGGAATTCAGATTTACCCCCCTCCAAAAACTGCTCTACTGTAATGTAGCTAATTTATATGCAACTAGATTATGTATGAGAGGAAAGAAATTTTCTGTGCTAAAAATTTCCTACCACAAGGCAAAACTCTCCAGGAAGAGGAAGAATACAGTGCAAACAGGAAAAAAAGATTAAACGACATGCACTTTTTTTCTTTCAAGTTAGCAATTTCATCTTCCCTTTTGCCAAACCTTAAACTATATATATATATAGTCCCCCTTCCCCTTCTCAAGTTTTCCTTCCAGTGAATCCATTCAATTAGACACAGAAACCAGATGCCGGAGGACATGGAATACTTGAAGATATGAGCTATGGCATCATAAGCAGACCCCAAAAAAAGGCATTAAAAACTTTTCTTCTGTCTAACATTTTACCAGGTATCAGAAAATCAGTGATGATATGTCATTTAAAATAAAACATTCTGGTTTCCACCACATAGAGGTTAAGTTTTTTAGTGGTTAAAACCATGGGTTTTGAAAACAGATAGGCCTAGGATTAAGTTTCTATAAGGCTGGTAATATTGCAAGTTTCTTAATCAAATCTATAACATTTTTTTCCCACATAGTGTTATCATGACATGAGCATTTTCTGATGGCATGAGAAATTCTTGACAACCAGTTATTTTAATGCCTGTTCAAGGACACAGCCAAAACTAAAGTAGAGAAGGACCAAATGGCCTCCTTAAGGCTCAAAGTGATTTGGTGACACGACTAGGAGTAAAACTCACCTCTTCTGTTGACTAGCCCCATGTTCTTTCCAATCAATTCCTTTTGCTTGAAACTCCAAGTAACAATTTCCGTGGACACATACCCTCCTACTGATCTCAAGTCAGAACACAATCTACAATCAGCAATTTAGGAGTCAAGAGAATGTCATTCAAAACTACAGATCTCTTTTTTTTTTTTTTAAGGTTAATCTTTTTTTTTTTTTTTAGATTTGTTTATTTATTTATTTATTTATTTATTTATACAAGCACTGGGTACAGTCAGAAGCGCGGGAGGGTGAGAGAATTCACCAGAGCCAGAGCGGGGAGCAGAGCAGGCAGAAGGACCGAAGTACACTGACGAGAAGAGCAGCGGGCGGCAGGAGAGGTCTGCGCGCCATGTGGGACCCTCCTCCTGTGGCTGGGGAGCAGCCAGGGATCAAACCGGCGCTACAGAGGCTGCGGGCAGCTTCGCAACCCAGTGCTCAACCGCTGTGCCACTGAGGAGGCCCCAAAACTACAGATCTCTTAATGTAGATTTGGCAAGATGAGACTTCCTCTCCCTACATCTTTATCCCTGCCTCCAAAACTCCACTCTTCCAATATCCCAACTCCCATCTTTACTTCTTAGGAAGAGTGAATATTTAGAAAAACAAAAAAGGGGGGGGGGGCCAAGAGTTGCAAAGATATGCCGTAAAAGTCAATGTAATATGAGAAAAATGAGCTTGTCTGAAAAATCTCTGAAAATTCTAAAGGTTTGGGATTTTCCTTAGCTGTGCCCTTTGGGTAGAGGGGTCCAAGAAGCAGAACATAAGAGCAGACAAAGGAAATGTGTAGTTCAAGACAAGAGAAAGCTTTACTCTACCTGTCTTCCAAGACTCTTCAAACTATCAATTAAGAATCAGTGTGCACATGAGACAGAAAAATGTTGCGCTGGTTAATGTCATAGTGGCCAAAATAAGAAGACTTTGTAAGTTTTATTAAGTTAGAGCTATTTTAACTTATAATGTCCCTAAATTTCCACTGTTTACTCAAAAAATTGATTTATCTGCCCATAAATGTTTCTTGAAGCAAACTTCCTCCAGTCAGATATATTTCTTGATCTTAAATGTTATATTCTGACGTAGCCACAACCTGAAATCAGTTAAGAATACATTGTCTTATTGTTCTTGGGATCCCTCCCTGTAATGTGGAAGCTCTGCATGGATTTTGAATACTTACCACAAAAACTTTAGTGACCTTTTCTTCTTGACCTATTGTTCCTCATTGCCTGCTCTTTCACCTCCTGGATGTGAGTCTTGACTGCCTAGAACTCAAGTACTTGCCTTCCCATTTAAGCTGAATTTTCTGTGTGTGCATTCACGTTAAAAATAGACCAGTACCTGCTTTTATTTTTATTTTTATTTCTGTGAGCTCATTAGGTAAGACATGTGACCTGACTTACTCATTCACACATATGTGGGTGCACCCACCCATTAAAGACACCAGTTAAACATTTAGCCTCAAGTGTTTAATTTATCTTATCCTATTTACTGTTTTCTGCCCAGTACAAATATAACAATTTCACTGAGGTGGAAGAACATTGTCTAACAGTATGAATTTCAAGGAATTCAAACTCTGTAACACTCTACTCCTTATTTTACTTCTGCCCTGCTCTCATGGTTAGAGATTTATTGCAGGCTAATAATTTACCACAAAGGCACCATAATATTTTTCAATATAAATTTATAGATTATAAAAAAGAAAAATTCAGAAATAAATGTTTGAAAACAAAATATGCAATATCAAATAAAAGTGGAGAAGAGAAATTAGTAACCAAGTTTTGTATTTTGCAAAATATCAGTATCCCCACACAAATAACATTTATTCGGTTATTTGCTTAACACCCAAGGCCCTAGTCTAAGCCTTTTATAAATATAACCTCATCTAATCCTCTCAACAACCCTATAAAATAAATATCATTCTTATCCCCTTTATGTAATTAAGAAAACTGAAATCAGAGAGGTTAACTAAATTCTCCAGTCATACAGCTAATAATATGTGATAGAGACAGAATTCAAGGCCAAGAAATCTCACTTCAAAGTCTGTCTCTTAGTTATGTGATTTATCAATCTAATAATTATTTTTTAACTCTCTGTTTTGTTCTCAATAATCTCCCACCCTCTTCAATCCTCCTAAATCTATTTATCTATCCACCTAATTCTGTCTTCCAGTTCTGCACTTACAACTCCAGAGTTTATCTCCTCTTGGGGGGGTGGGGAGAGAAAGACCAAGAAGAAAATAAGAGGGAGGAAGGAGGAGGACAGGGAGGGAGGGAAGGAGGGGGGAGAAGAAAAGGAAACATTACTCTATAATCTTTTTGCATTAGGATCACTCTGCTGCCCCCTGCAGATAATTTGGTGAAACCAAAACTAATGTTTCTATAAATTTATTTAACAAATTCAGTTACAGTTGCACTTTAAGGTTTACATCACAAAGTATGTTAACATGTTAGACATTGCACATTTATTTACATCTTTTGGAAACTAGTTAAACGGAACAAATGTCTACCTAAAGACTATTACCTAAAGAAATACGAAAAGGGGGCCTCCCTGGTGGTGCGAGGGATTAAGACGAAACCTATGAAGCTGTCTGCAGCCACTGTAGCACGAGTTTGATCCCTGGCCAGGGAACAACCCACATGGCACAGCAGACCTCTTCTGACTCGCCCACTGCTCCCCTCAGCAGTGTACTTCGGTCAATCTGCCTGTTCTGTTCCCCACTCTGTCTCTGGTGAATCCTCTAACCCCCCGCACCTCTGGCCTGTACCCCAGTTCTTGTATGCATAAATAAATAAATCTTTTAAAAAATACTGAAAAGAATAATAATGTCTCTTCTAAAATGACAGGAAGATTTAATAAAAGTATAAAGAGATAGATGAAATGAATGGATAAATGGAAGGATGGATGAAAGTTTGGAGGATAGATCCTATGCCTCATTCCAGGGAAATTTCATATAGATTGTCATAAACTGTATAGTCTGGGAAGCAAATCATTAAATAGAATTTTGTGTAAAGGATGATTATTAAGGAATATCTTTAGATCACCACTTGTGAAAATGAAGGGACAGAAACTGATGTGGAAAGAGGAAGACGAACTGTAAGATAGAACCACACTAGGCTCAGCTAAACCCCTGACATGGTCTGGAGTTTCAAGTGTCCTGTAACAGTGATCTCAGTTGGGCTGAAAAGGCCAAGTCATTATATTCTTGCACATATAGTCACAGATATCTCTAGCCCCGGAGATGTAACTCCAGGAAAAAATACAATGTTGGGTATTGGCAATCCATGAATGGGCTGACTCTTGCCAACAACACTACTAACACTGGTTCAAAAAATTTCTCATG